AAAATTGAACATATACGCAGATGAAATGACCCTGCCGAAAATTGTATTAGCTGTCGCAACAAGGAAATAAAAACAAAACAGGCTTTCACATAAAATATATTTGATAAAAACAAAAAACAACCCCCCCCCCTGATATATATATATATATATATATATAACATTCTAATGAATATGTAAAACATTTCAAAAGAATGAATCATCATCATCATCATCATCATCATCATCATCGTCATCATCATCATCATCATCATCATCATCAACAAAATATAAACAAAAAAAACAACAAAAACAAACGAACAAAACCGTCAAAAATACCTGGAATTGTACAATCAATGTAAAGATGCCTTAGAGCCTAAAGACAACTGGAGAGAAAAAAGTAATGAAATTATATTCCTTCTGCTGCTATTTTAAAGAACTTCATGTAATAGAACACACAAGGGGAATAGAGGAAGGGAAGCATAAAAAAGACACCGACAATATATATATATATATATATATATATATATATATATATATATATATATATATATATATATATATATATATATATATAATACGCGTAAATTAATAAATACCTGTCTTGGAGGCTCATTACGGCATTTTCAACGGGGATTAATTTTTTCACAAAGTGATGTGTCTTCCTTTATCCGTATGCCTATCTGTGTCTCTCTTACCCCACCCCACCCTACCTCATTTCACCTCACATCATCTCACCTCACCCCACATTACCTCACCTCACCTCACCTCACCCCACCCTACCCCATCTTACTGCTCACCTTCTCCCACTTCACACCACCCCATCTCACCTCACATCACACTTTCTCACATCACCCCACCTCCCCCACATCACCCCAATCTCATCCACATCATCCTATCCCAGTTACTAAGACAATGAGGCCTGAAACCAAAATAATTATCTTCAGTCTGCTCTATCAAAATCAGAGTCGTTTGAAAGAATTGCTTTCGAAAAAGCTTGTGAAACTCATCGTTTTTAGATCAAAATTGTCAATACTAAGAACTGACCCGATAGGCCTATAGCTTTGTTATTCTAAGGAAGCAAAAAAAAAAAAAAAATTAAAAAATGATGAAATGGTACATATTGGTTTAACGCCCCTATCAACATTATTAGGTTATTTAAGAGGCGGGGCCTCCGAGTTTAACGTCCTTCTCCGAAAGGACCGAACCAAATGGGAAATTCGTGTAATGAGTGCCTTTCCCAAAGGACACCCCGTCGGGCCGAGCTGAGGCTCGAACCCCGAACCCACAATCTCGCGATTACGAGTCCGGTCGCCTTAAGGAAGCGATGATGTAGGGGGGGGTGGTGGTGGGGGGGGGGTCCCCCCCCAAGAGCCGATTGGGGGGGGTGGGTCCCCCCCAAGAGCCGATTCGGCTCAAAATTGTGGAATTTGAGTTGTAGGCATTTTTAGCTTCCTCACCCTCTCCTACAACTATTTCATTGCATCTGAACCTCCAATATCCTCATTCCTTCCCATACTGGGCATGTTTGTCACCACCATTTCCTCATAAAGTCAATATTTTATTTTTCTTTATCGGCCGATTTCTCAAAACGCTACTTTTCTCTATAATTTTTTGAATAACTCCACCATTTTTCATCCCGCCTTCATGAAATTTGCACAGAATGAAGAAAAGATATAGATTTAATACTAATACTAAATATTTATCTTTTGACTTCTTGATGTAAGGAATAGATTTTTTAAATTTTTATAATTTTTGTTGTTGCAAACTTGAACACTACCTCAGGAAAAAATGTGTTAAAAAATTTCTAATTCGTTTTGGAAAAAAGCGACAAAATTTTTTAGGTCTAATGTTTGTGAACATGCATGCAAAAAAATCCAATCAATTTCCATGAGCAGTAACGGCGGTATTCATTACGTAAGACAATCAAATATGACCGTCGTATCCATGGAAACGAAACTTTTTTCTCAAATTTGATTGCGGATTTTAAGACTCCTTACTATGCTTGTTATATGTGTGAAATTTGGTAAAATTCGGTCCTGTAATAAGCGAGATAGCCTTCAGGTGTAGCCCCCGCCCTTAATATTGGTCCTGTGCAGACGAAATCAAGCTGTTTTTCTTGTTCGTGGTGGAATCAGGCGCTCGTCAACTTTTTGGGCATGTGGAGTTCGTTATTTGTATAATCTTATTAAAGCTTGTTCAGCTGTCTTGCTATTGGTGTGATGGGGTCGCTTGGTTTCAAAGATGTAGATCTAATTAGCGAGAAAATGGCCGCCAAAGTTTCGTTTTTTCCATAGCTAGATAGACCGTGGAAACTGAAGACTTACATTTTTCCACTTCCAGTGGCGGTGGGTGGACCCAAATTTGGGTGGGGCTTAGCTTTACAACCAAATTGCAAGCAAAAGGAACAAAACTGTGATGATGTTTCTATACTCGCAGCGAAGGCGAGCTGTGGCATCTTGAGAATCATTTAAAAGAGAAAAGTCACCTTTGTCTTCCTTCTCTTTGTTCTATCGTACGCTAAATTCTTCTGGATGGCGTGGACGAAGCCGTTTCGCCTCTAAATTTCTCTAACTAAATAATTTTCATCTGACGAAAAAGTTGCCTCAAAAGTGGTTTGATGTAATTGTAATTAATAACTGTTAAATCTCAGCGCCTCACACACAAACGTATTATACACACAGCACTGCAAATATACACCGTCAAGGAGCTGGATTTCGTTAATTTCGTTTGCCTTGTGATAGAGTTTTTAAAAAAAGCGGTTGAAGGAGGTGACACTGGTGACAGAACACTACAGTACTAGAGAATGGAAAGGAGGCGGGAAAAAAGCCCATTACAGAGAACCTCTTTTCCATCAGTCATAATTCGAACCCAAGACATACCGGTAGATCTATTGTATGAGAGGCGAGGAGGTGACACATTTACAGTTTGTTTTAAGCTCCTTGATGAGAGGCCAAAGCCTTAATAACTCCCACATCACGAGAGCCCCCAGTAACGCGCCTATCCAGTATACAGTCTTCGGAACTTGTATTGCCCAAATTGTGCTGAAGGTGCTGCAAAACTCTAACTGAAACAAAACTTAGACCTAGACCCCCCCTAAAAAACAAAACAAACAACAACAACAACAACAACAACGACAACAACAACAAAACAACAACAACAACAATAACAACAACAACAACAACAACAACAACACAAAAAAGCAACGTAATCCTATCTTGCATGGATGGTTCGTGCCTGTTCAAATTAATTAATACATGTATATAGATCTATAATTTAGAAATTTTAGTAACAAAATTAATCCTGTCGACTGTTGTTGGCTGACTGGACCTTATTTTCTCGGCCCACAACGAGCACACCCACCACTTTTATAGACATTCTCGCCATAACAACAGCAGGAACTGGATTATTGTACGGACTCGAAACAATTTTACGTCCATTTCATTGTACCCTGCAAGGCCGCTAAAGACATTTTTTAAATGTTCGATGCTGATAATTAAAAAAAATTATGTAGAATATACGTATGTAAAGATTTTGAATAACAAAACATTGTGCTTAGAATGAGTTTAATTGATATTTAACGTTTTCTTACGTCTAACGATAATAACCCCCCCTCTCCGTGGGCGCAATACAGTAAGGGTGATTCGACAATTCATGTTACACCGGAATGCCGCCAACTTCGAAACACGGACAGGAAGAAAAACAAAACGGTACGAAATAAGGGTGGGCCGACTCCGAGAACTTCCGAACTTTCGACTCCGAACATTTTTGGGCGCGAATTCGTCGACTTCGACTCCGAATTCGAATTCAGGTCAAGATAGCAGCCAATCAAATTTGAGGAGAGGCAAGGTCAATTCGATGGGATTCGTGTCAAGTCAAGTCGTTCTCCCTACATCCGTCGAGTCGAACACGCTGTAGAGAATCCCGACTCCACGGACCAGTGTAGACAAAGGGGGCGGGGAGGGGGGAGGGGGAAGGAGCAGGGAAGAGGTCACAGAGGTCGGGATTGAGGCAGGCAATGTTTTCATTGACATCAGGGGAGGGCACCAGTTTGTTTTGAAAGTTATTTGCCCCTCGTTGACAGTACAGCCGCATTCATGTGCGACGTGCGAGGATAATGGATGCAAACAGGTCATAATAAAAATCAAAGCATAAAATCCCGCAGTCTCGAACTCTAAAGTCAGACCATGCAAATCAAAGCAACAGTCAGCAAGACAGAAGTCTATAAAAAATAACAGTAATAGATCTAGATCTAGATTTATATCATAATCAACATTTATTATGACAAGATGAAACATACAAGGTTGAAAACAAACATGGAGTAATGCAAAAGAGACGAGAAATGTGACAATGTAAATGTAAGTGCCAGACAGGTCGTAAGAAAATACATGTAGATAGTACAATGAAGAGAAGAAAAGTAGTGAAATGTGTGTGATCGTAGTGAAAGCCAAAGAAAGAAGGAGGCTGGGATAATCACGGGATTTGAATTTGACGTGAAGATGGCTTGCAATTGTGATTGGTGCAATCAGAGACGCAATGCTCGTCCGTCACCGTAGCGCGTAAATTTGACCTTGGCCTCTTAGGGCATAACCACCAGCAGAAGGGATTTGTAACTGCTAGCAAATCAGCGCGTTCTAAAAGCTCATGTGACTTTCATTGAGTCGATGGAATCGTGGGACGGTCCAATTCGAACTCGCTGCTTCCTTCTGAACACAGCGAGGGGAAAATAGAAATAAGACATCGTGTTTTATGATACTTTTCAAACTTATGCATTTTTATTCATTCAAATCTAACTTTTGAGCGTTCAAAAATGTTTCTTGGGTGCAGTTTTGCGTAAAATTATTCACAGTTTTTAACAAATTAAATAAGTTTTCGCTCCTCGTGATCTATTTTCCCCTTGGCTGCCCTAGTTCGGGAATTCGTGTTCGGACTCGTCCTCCTGCCCAATGTTCGATCTCCGACTCAGACCCCACGAATTCGTCGAATTCCGAATCTCGACTTGACTTCGCCCATGCTTAGTACGAAACTACACACATGAAAGTGATACACACACTAGGCTACACACAGACGCTCGCGAAGACAATTGTAATGTAACTGTCACTCTCCGTTTTCGACTAGAGCCCACAAAGAACTTCACATTTTGACACGTGTAATTTTTGTAGTAAAATTTCTTAAGATTCCACCAGATCTTGCGCCTCTCGTAAGTAGATTTTTTCAACAAGATTTCTGATGAAGTGTCAGAAGTCTGTCCCCCACCCCACCACCAGCAGCTGTTTCAGTTTGTTGAACTGTTTTGAGTTTGGTAAAAAGAACAGTTTATAGATCTAGAAATCTAGATCTAGATCTAGTACTTGGTTTGTTTGGGTTTTAGATCTATTATTATGAATGACTTTTTAGTTTAGAGGCCTTTTAGTTTAGTGGGGCAACAGACAGGGTGGTTTTACAGTTGGAAAGTGGCTATTCTCACCCGCCCGGAAGTTCTCGCAAGATCAACTCCTCCCCTCTTCTCTCTCTCTCTGTCTCTTTCTGAATACTGTCTATCGGTGTGGACGATCAAATTGATCAAAACAAAGTTAAAAATGATGTTAAAAAACAAAAGTAAATTAATTTGGTTGTCTACAAAGATGCTACGGCTATTTAACTTTTCGAATCGAGCCGAACTACGCGGGTAGCCATTTTGTTTTTCCCGGAAATTCTCGCGCTACTCCTCTCTCTCTTTCTCTCTCTCTCTCTCTCCACTGCCCACAGACAAAATTGTACGCTTTTAGTAGGCTACAGTTGTAATGGAACGTTTGTTCACGGCACCGAATTCTACAATTTTTCTGTTATCACAGTGTAGAATTCTGTGGTTTAGGGTGAACGCGCACCGGGTGAGAATATCCACAAGACTCGCCTGCACTATTCTCACTCCGGGTGAGAATAGAGGTGGCCTTACAGTTGAGTAGACCTATTGATGGCTATTTGAAAGAGGCATAGAGACAGTGTACTAATAGTAGATCTAGACTTCTATATCTAGAATCTAGATCTAGATTCTAGATCTAGAATTCTATAGAGGCTACTGAAGTTTTTGGTTTTTTGGCCGTGATAATTATAGGCCTTCTCTAAATTTGACCATTAAAATCACCGCAAACCAACCAAGGATCCCCCAACCTATGTTATAATCTTACTGTTGAGTGAGGATGCGCTACCAACAAATGCTATGAAATATTATATTCTTTGTCCTTTTTACACTTCCAGGTACAACTCGTTGCTGTTTGGCTGAAATTGCATAAAAAACCCTTTCTCCTGGTGAGGATGGCCTCTAGAACAGGGTTAATACCTGCGACTGGTGCGACGAAGGATGGCAGAAATAAAGCAGATGTGGCCTCCAGCAAACCCTTTCGGCGATCAGTGGTACCTGGGGCAAGCCAAACTCATCAAGCGAGGACCAAGTTTCAGCGTCCTCCTTCCCAGGCCAGGTCGCAGGCAGCAACCTCTGGCAAAGACATCAAGGTCGCGGGTGCTGCCCGTAACCGCTTTTCTGTTGCGCAGAACACAAGCTCCAAAGATGCTAGTCACCGTGTAGGAGGCAAAGCGCTGTCACGGCCATCGGCATACAATGGGAAGGCTTTAGCTTCAAAAGAGGTATGACGACCTGCTGTTGGGGGAAAATAAGTCCTGAAGTCGCAGAAAAATGGGGGATGGGGGGAATGAATTTTTTTTCTTTTGTTTTAGTAAAGTTTTAACTCACTTCAGACGGCTCACACATTAGTTGCGTGACCCCTGCCGCGACGCTCGCAACGGGTCTCACAAGCCCTGCGTGACCAACTTTGGAATTTTTTTTTCGCTCTACAAATCATGCACGGATCGTGAGACCCACCTCGTACCCTTGTTTGGCCAAGCCTGAGCTACTTAGACTTCGTTTCGTATCTCTGGGGCCGGTAGTTTTTAAGTTATTGAAGGTGAAGGACAGTGACCCCAACTGGGGTTGAACTGACCGGAACTCGCGCTTTGTTTTTTTCTATACAGCTCATAGTAATCCGACAGTCGCGTCGTAGTAACGGTCGAAGAAGTCGCATGAACAAGAATCACATAATTTCGCCGTTTTCTATACTTCTGTACGTTTTACTAGTTCTAGTGTCTCAGAATATGATGTGTCTAATAGTTAGGATCCTGGATATGTACCCGAACACGGCCCGAGTCGTAGTTCTAGGGCTAGATCTAGCACTAGTACCGGTGTTGTTTTTCGCGCAACGAAATCACAACGTCGTGCCGTACATCTGTCTCATATATGTAATTCAGTGTATGGGTCTGAATCAATGCACAGACCAGCTTTTATATTTTCACCAAACACTCGCACATGTATGCAAATCAAACCAGAACACTTTGAACTTTTATTTTTGTTGTTGTAGTGAATTTCATTCTACTTGTCACGTCTCTGGAAATTTTTCGGAAAATCAAATTCATTCAAATTTTTAAAAAATCATACAAATTAAAGTATTAGACTTAGACAACTTTAGTTTTTTGTATTAGATTAAGCTTGAATGTTACTTTACTGTGTCAAAAAATAATTACAATAGGGTAATTCTGAGAGTTGTGGTGATTTATTGAAATACCCCCAAAAACGCCAGTCAGTCTTCAACGCTTGTGACTGGTGAAAGGGCCCAGTCGCAAGTGAGTTAAGGTGCTCGCAACAGCATTAAAAGGTCATATAAAAGCGCCGGAAATGATTTAAAATACATGCCTTGGAATTGTGTACTGAAACTGACGATAGTAGTTAGTTAGAAATTATGTACAGTTGGGCACAGATAACCGAACATGTCGGGGATTGTGTGTTCCGACACATGATCCATAAGTCGGGTTAACGAAAAATTAAAGAAATAGGCCAATGACTGCCATCTTGATCCTTCTTGTGCTCTTTGAGTGTGGGTTTTTTAATTTTTTTATTTTGATAACTGGGCAGCTAGCATGAGTTGAGAGTCTACTGAAAGGTAACCTTTGCTTTTTTTGTTTCTACTTATGTACAGCAGGTTTCAAAGTCAAGTGTCTCTGGTGAAAGATTTGACCGTCGCAGCACCCCGGGACGTTTTACAGGCACCAAGACCAAGGACCAGAAGTGTCCGGTCAAGCAGCAGCCGCCATGCACACCTGGAAGACCTGTCTTAACACCAGGTACTGTTACAATTTCCTCTGAATTCATTGGATCTTCAGATCATCAGCATCATCCTGTGTCTTGCTGACTGGTGTGGGCGATCATGGACCTCTACTTCACTCTGTCTTACGTTACAGTAATTGGGTCTGTCGTTCTTGCTGTTCCCAGCCATGTTGTCAACCAGTCCAGTATCTTTTCCCTCTGTCTGCCTCTGCTCTCTTTACATCAAACTTGCCTGTTGGTACAATATTCTCGAAAGCTTGTTCTTTCCACATTGGGTTTGCTATGAACTTTGCCTGTCGCTTTCGTATATTCGTCATAAGCTGTCGCCTGCAGTTTACTTAACCAAGACTTGTTCCTTTGTGTTTCTTGCTGTTCATGGGATACGCAGCATGCGTCTTATGAACCACTACTCTGTCACCTCAATTGTTCTTAGAGATATGAGCATTAACTATTGATTCTTCAGCGATTTTTACCAGTTAAGATTCAAACCGTATGCATCTTGTTTATCAAAGTGGATATCCACTATTGGGCGTTCAAAGAGGAGAATCATTATTGATTCTACAGATATTTTAGCTTTCTGGAGTTAAAATGTGTACATAGCATCCCTTTAAGTAACTCTAAGGAAATGATGTAAAATGTAAAATTGTCAGTCTTCATTAGTCGATGTGCAGTTTCTACATGGTGTTGTTGTAAGTGTTAGTTTAAAAAGATGGCTCCTGTTTAAGAAATAATTTATTGTTTGTTTGTTTTGTTTTTGCCCTGCCGGTATATGACCAATGTCTTATCAATGGATTTGTCTATTGAAAATCAAGCTCAATATTTGTTTTTCTTGCAGCGAAAAAATCGTCCAAAAAAAGCATTTTGAAGAAAACTATCAAGTCGGAAGACCCTGAGCAGGTAAGTTTCAAATACAGTCAAACCTGCCCTGACGGCCACTTGTCCAAGACAATCATCTGTACAAATGACCACTTCCCACTTCCCACTTCCCTGTCTGTGGTTTTTGAATATTATAATGGCTCTGTCTAAGGCATCCACCTGAGACAGCTGCTGTTCTCCTCGCTTATGTGGGTAACCGTCTTGGACAATTTTTGACTGTATGTTCTTGTCCTTATTCGACCCATGATAATGTTTTTGAAAGAATTTGATTGAGTCATTTAAGAAATCCAGCAAGATTTCTGGATATGATTTGACTAGAATTGATGAAATGTACGAGGTCACAAGTATAAAAAAGAAAGACAGCATTATAAACAACCCATCACACCCCATTTCCACACAAATTGTAAGATCACTCAGCGGTAGATATACCTCTAAACACAAATAAAGATACAGAATTTTCCTACCATCTAGTATAAAAGGCTACTGTCAGAATAAACATCAATGTGTATTGCTTTTTCAAGTATGTATCTATACAACTCTATAGGTCTTGTAATTAAATTACTGTATGTGGTTGAATTATGAATGATGCATCTGATGTGATATAGTATAGCATGTACATAAATGTCAGCTTTACTTTCTTTTCATATTGAATTTTAATGAGAGTAATATATAATTCTATTTTTATGTATACCTGCGTGTGTTTTTACAGTCCTGTACAGCCAAGGAAAATTTCCCTCTGGGACAGTAGAATATTATCTTATCTTATCTTACCTTACCTTATCTTATCTTTCTTCTTAGTGGGTCTGCAAGAGGTCTTAAATTTTGGATTTTGGACCAAGGCAATGCAACATTAAGCCCCACCCACTCACCTGTCACATGTGACCCTGGCTGTATTTGTCTGTTGGCACACCACTCCTGGCCCCAAATGGCCTCCGTTTTTCTCGCTCTGTTTTTGAAGTATTCCATGGAGAATGAAACTGCAGTGACACTCGTAATGTGGGGATTATGGCCTGCTGAAAAATTGTAAACAGTGAATAGATAGAGCTGTTTTTCTTTTTCTTTTTTCTTTTTTTTTGTTAAAGGAAAATTGCCTTAACAAACAAAAAATGGTTCTATTGCTGGTTAGAATTGTTTTCGGCATGTCATCATCTCCGTGTTATATGTGTGTGTCAGTACAGTTCCACTTTCCAATGAATGGCTGATTTATTTCCTTCTTTCACTGTATTGAATCAATCAGGAGTAAGGGCTCTTTTTGAGCTAACTGCTTCTCTTTTTGTTTCTCTCTCCTTCCAGAGACGTCCTATTTGCTTATTGTGTTATAACTGTCCTTTTTTTTTCTTTTCTTTGTTTTTTTTTTTCCTCTCCAGAAAGTTTCTCTGTGTATGGAACACACGGATGGCCGTCACGTGACTTTCAAGTCAAAGGCAACGCAGCAAGCCAGCTTAAGGTACTTTGACGTGGGAAAACGTTTTGATGATCTTTGACATATATGTTGTCCCAAGTCTGAGATTTTGATATTTACCAGTGAGCTAGCAGGGTGGGAATTGACATCACTCGGTTGTCTCTTGGAATGGCTTTGTATAGGACTAACAGAAGTAGAGTGTTGCCAGTGCCGTGAAACTCTTACTTAAACTACACTAAAAAAAAAGGTTGTCAGTTCGATTCTCTCTCAGAGAAGATGCTGTAAAACTCTTAATATGGCATGTTTGTGAAATTGTTCTGTATTGGTGTAATATTGTGTATTTATGATGGTTCATGTATTTATAATTTTATATATATTTATCACATGTATGTATTTATCATTATATTTATGTATGTACGTTTGCCATTGTAACTTCCCTACAGGGATCAATAAAAAATGTGTAATTTATTTGGTCGCTTTTAAGGACAAGCGGGCTAACCCAGATTTCGGGGGCTTTCAGAAATCTTAATCTACACTAAAAGTGGGCATTGCCCTACCTATAGATAAAGTTTGGTTTCATTGGCATACTGTGTATTTTTGTTTGGTTATAGAGAAAACTCTCCTTGTCTTTTAAAGAAGCTGAACAAGGGGCAAAAACTTTACCTTCGATTTTCTCAAAACAACATTTTTTGGGATAGCACCCTTGTGCTTAAAAGCAACCATTTATGTAGTTTATTATTTATTACAAGAACTTTACAAAATAGTATGAGGGCCATTCTAGGTAAAATCATTAAATGGAACTGCAAAGAAATCAAATATGCATAACTCAAGGGTAATGACTTAATGAAAAAAAAATCTTAGCGTTGACAGAGACTCTCTTTTTTTATATGTGTCACGTGCCCGTTCAGCTGGCTCACAGCATCACATGATGGTTTACAGTTATAACAGAAATCATCTACTAGACCTTACCTAATCCATTTGATCTATAATGAATCAAACTGGTTGTTTACATGGAGCTGATTAATTAATTTTTTAATATATTTTTTTTTTAGTTAGAGGAAAGTTGCTTCAACGAAATTTAAAAAAATGGTTCTATCACTGGTTGTATACCCGGCTTGGGTCATTCATTAATTCCTACTCAGTTTGGTGTTACTTTCATTCAAATAGGTTCATTAAGTATTAAAGAGCTGAGTTATTTAATAAGGAAGTTTGTGGTGCAGGAAACTTGGATGATTGATAAAACTGGCTGCTTACAAAGGAGGGACAGGCTTACGTATAGGAAAAGTCAATTTCTTATGTACTTGCCTTTCCCCAGCTCTAAAAATATTTTATATGCAAAAAATTGCAAGATCTGTTTTCCATAGTTGATCCCAACGGAATTCTGAATTTTAAATGGCCTTTATGAGACGTTGTAAAATTTTTAATGTTATTTAAAAAGTTGTTTTAAATTAATTTATATTCATAAAATTTTTAGCATTTTAGTAGAAGTGTTGACCAGAATCAGGCTGTGCAGTGTGCTGTTGCGAACAGAACCGACCTTTTTTCGCAGGCTCATATGACCTTATGCAGTTGCGAGCGCCGTAAAACTCGTACTAAAATTAAACTAACTTTCCCCAGGTCCAAACTGAATGCGTGGCTGGAGGCCAAAGGGAAAACTCCAAGCCGCTGTCGTCACCTCATGTGTTTTGACGCCGAGATGTCGGCGAGGAAGAAGGAGGACAGGCTGGTGGATCGGAAGATCACGTCGAATCTGTTGTCTGGTCAGGTCTGTGGATTTCCTTTCCCTCTCTGTCTCTGTGTCCCTCCCTCTCTCTCTCTATCTCTGTCTTTCTGTCCGTCAGTCTCTCTCTCTCTGTCTGTCTCTCTCTCTCTAAAGAGGACACGCTGGTGGATCGGAAGATCACGTCAAAACTTTTGTCTGGTCAGGTCTATAGATTTCCTGTCTTTGTGTCTCTCTCTCTGCCTGGCTGTCCCTTTGTCTCTCTCTCTCTCTCTCTTTCTCTCTGTCTCTCTGTCTCTCTCTCTCTCTCTCTCTCTCTCTCTCTCTCTCTCTCTCTCTCTTTCTCTCTGTCTCTGTCTCTGTCTCTCTCTCTCTAAAGAGTTCAAGCTAATGGATTGGAGGATCACATCTAACCTGTTGTCTGGTAATTATTTTCGCAAAGACGAATTTGCTGCCCTGGGTAAATACATGTAATATGTATACCCCTCAACAACACACAAACAGTTTCTCTCTCTCTCTCTCCCTCCGTCTCTCGCTCTCTCTCTCTCACTCCCACACACAAACACACACACACACAGAAACTTGCCCACGAATAGTCACTTTAATTAACTTTGAAAACATTGTTATTCTTGCACGCCAGACATTGACTGAGCAGCTCATATTCATATAATATATACTAGCTGGGTACCAAGTTCGATGAACAGAGTAAAAAAAATCGATCGTCAAGTCATTGTGGGGGCAGTGCGCTCTGCATGTGAGCGGAAGCCTCACTTGTTTACTACGGTGCCTTAGAAGACGAACTTTCCCAAGATTAGATCTAAACGAAATTAATGAAAAACTAAAAATTAAACTACAGTGACTTCGGACTGTGCACCCTTTAAATGATTCTGAACTACCTGTATTTTTTTCAAATTCAAAAGTTAAGTGATTTGAAAATTTTAGGCGACCAAAGTGACGAACTTTCACCAGTATAATGTATGAAGGTACGAATACATATTTCATACCTGTTCTTTCTTTTTTTCTTTAAAAAAAAAATTGTTTTCATCTCTCACACCCACATGAAAAAGTTGGTAAAAATTTCTGTTTTTTTAAATGTTCTTTCAGGCAGAAGTGTTGGAGAGAGAAGTGAGGAAGAACTTGTTCAACACCGCAAAGACTGCAGCCTCTCCAGTGGAGGCAAAGCCAAACCTTCAAAAAGAAAATCTGGAACCAGAATCTCTGTCCGATGAAAAAGATACCTCAGATTTTGCAGGTAGAAATGTTAATCATGCTGGAGTCTGCTTAACACTTTGCCATCACATGGCTCATATAGTAAAAACCCTTGCCATCACAAGCATTTTGGGGGAAATCTAAAGAAACTGGGTGGTAAACATCGCCGATCGGCATTGTGTGATGGGAGCGGAACTTCAGTGCTCTTGCCGATCAGTGAGATGTGACGACAGAGTGTTAATCTGGATGCGGTTAATCCAAAAAACAGTGGTAAACTGAAAGGAAATAAAAGCCCCACTTGTTTTTTCTTGTCTTTCTATTTGAGCAGCCTCTCTGAAACTAAACACTGGACTAAGCTGATTGTTTTATTTCCAGATGCATTGTTTTCTGTTCATAAAAGATTTCTCATGGATATTTGAATAATAATATTAATAATGATAATGACAACTTTGTTGTTTTGTTTTCAGATGCATTGTTTTCTGTTCATAAAAGATTTTCTTAATGTTACTTGAATAATAACAAGACAGATGAACCAGCTATAACGGCCACTTATCACAAGAGTGACAAAATACGATGCAGTTTCGTGAGATGCCTTCTGTATAAATTGATCAATCATCTTGTCAGCTTCCTAACTTTTCTTCAGTGTTGTCGGCAGATACATAAAGAAGGCCGCTTTTTAAAATGTTTTTCTGTTTAGACGAAATGATACTCATAATGTACTTATATTGTAGATTTTATATGCTTTCATCGGCATTTGTGCTCATATGACGTTATGCAGTCGGTGAAAATGATGTAGGTTTAACGCCCCTATCAACACTATGAGGTTATTTAAAAGGCGGGACCTCTGAGTTTAACATCCATCTCTGAAAGGACCATGCTAAATAAGAAATTCATATAAAGTGTCTTTTCCAAGGATACAACGTTTGACCGAGCTGAGGCTCGAATTCTCTATCTCTAACCCACAATCTCACGATTACGGGTCCTGTAGCCTAACCACTAGGCCACCGACGCCACTCTTATGCAGTTGCGGGCGCCGTATAAAAAAAACAAACAAACAAAAAACAAAAAAGCCCCCCCCCCACCCCCCACATCTTCCAGGCTTATTAATGCATGAAGTAATATTTCAAATATTTAAAGGATCTGCAATGTCTGTGTTTTGGCTGTTTATGTAGATAGTAGATAGCGTATTTTTAGACATGTTTTGCGACAGTGTTCAAGTGGACAGACGTTTATGTATGTTTAAATCTGTCAGATTTTTCTTGCTGTCAATCTCCCGGATTCATTTTAGTTCCTTTACTAAATTTGTTTCTCTGTTCATCCGTGAAACATTTAGCTGTAATCGGCTTTAGACCGGCGTCTGTGGTGTAGCGGTCAGGTAAGGTGCTTCACTGTCGCATACAGGGGACCCGAATGAGGAGGATTTTTATCAAGTCTCTCAGTCTTTCTGCTGGGATGTTGTATATATCCTTGTCAGCCCATGTTGGCACAGACAGGCAGATAGGATGCCTTCGTGTTAAATGATCTAAATTGTGTCGATGGGGGCGTGAAAATGCCTCCATTTTATTTTATGTTTAGTCTCTCAGTTGAATGTTGTTATGCCAAAGGGGGTACATTTCTCATTAATTGCACTGTAGAATTGTAAGTGGGCTGATTCATCAATGTCACGCTCATAATTGTGCCTGAACTACAACAGGTAACTGCTGCTTTTTCTTTCCTAATCCTTACTATTGTCATTTTTTCCTCTACTTCTTTTGTATGTTTGTCACACTCTTGTGACCCACTATTTCCGGGGTGCCTTGATAGTCGAAGCAGACTTTGTGGTGTTGAAGCTAGAGAGGTGAGCAGAGTAAGTCTGATTCCCTGTAAGGACTTCTCTGTTGACATACACCCCTTGGCGCTCATATGACCTTATGCAGTTGCGAGCGTCGTAAAACCTCTACTAAAACTAAATAAAGTAAATTAATCAGGGTTCCTGCTGCCTCCTTGATTTCAAGGAGTCCTTGAAAACTCCTTGAATTTGCATTCAAGGAAAAATCTCCTTGAAAACTCCTTGAATTTGAGGAGTCTCCTTGGAAACTTCTTGAATTTCTCCGGATCGGACATGAACTAAATTTTTGCCGGAAAATCGAAACTATGATTCCTTTTAGACAAGTGTAGGCCTATTGGAAACAGGCTTTCAGCATGAATTTCTTGACCAAATCTCCTGGGATTAAAAAAAATTCTCCTTGAAACCACCTTGAATATTCCTTGAATTTGGTGGGGTGTTCATGGCAGGAACCCTGACTAATGTTATGATTGTTTGTCTCTCCACAGAGGCTAAGGAGACGGACACGACCATGGAGGAGTACGAGGAGATCATGCTGTCTCAGGAGAAGATTGACGAGATTCACGGCAACTTGAAGACCATGCTGGACGAGTGTCTGACGCTGTTCCAGGGAGTGAGTCGCTGGCTGTCGCTTCTTTCCATCTGCTTTATAGATATATACTATCGTTTTATCACACTGCCTCGCGATTAATACAGGGTGTATACTTTGACTTATTTTGGAACTAAGATAATAATAGATAGCACTGGTATAGGTCAAATCCCCGCTTAACCGCAAGCTCTATGCGCTTCACAATCTATACTATTATTAATATTAATATAACTTATTTGTGTTGCAAGTGCCGTGAAACTCTTGTATTATGAAATTTAAAATCTTTAGTATGACCTCTAAGCTGCAGCGCTGATATGACTTATTTGTGTTGCAAGTGCCATGAAACTCTTGTATTATGAAATAAAAAAATTTCTCGTATCACCTCTAATCTTCAGCACTGATATGACCCATTTGTGTTGCAAGTTCTGTAAAACTCTATGAAATGAAAAACCTCAGGTATCACCTCTAAGCTTCAGCATCGATATGACCTATTTGTGTTGTTTCATGTGCTGTAAAATTCTTACTAGAACTAACAACTTGTTCCCCCCCCCCCCCCACCCCCCCACCCACAGGGCTGCCCCCTGGAGAACATCCTGCCGTGGCTGGAGAAGATGATCCAGCACATCCCGCAGGCGCAGTCGTTCGCCCCGTTCTACATCACCAAGGCCAAGGTCGTCGAGGCGTTCCCCGAGCAGATGCTGGAGGTGTTGTGTGACGCGGTGCGGCACAACGCTCAGGTAACTAACTAACACTCCCTCAGGCTTATTAGTTTTTGCTGAAATAAGTGGAAATATGAGATGCTCCAAGGATTATTTTATGTTGTTGGTGAACATATTTTTTATTTTTGGCGTGAAATTTTCCAAATAAGTGGACACGTGTGTGTTTTTTCTTTTTCATTCATCATTATCATCATCTTCATCTTCATCATCATCAGTTTCTCCCTCACCCTGGATCAGGGTAAAGGCCACAAATACCTTCTACATTTTCCTATCCTGAGCTAGCCTCTCTGGATATTATCCCATTACTTCCTGTTTTTCTGTACGTCGTTCTCTGTGACTCTTCTCCAGATTATGTGGGATCTTCGTCTTAATATTATTCGTTCAGAGTAGCCAAAATTTGAATAGCTATGTGATCTCTTTGTTCATCAAGTTTTGTGAAGATTGCTGGCATTGATAAACCTGTATATGCACTCATAGAGCATTGTGTTTGGTTCCTCTGTGTTGCATTGATGAGCGGGTGGTTGGCGGGTGCTCTGGTATGGTTTGCTCCTTATATTTCCTATCAAACATCTATCATCCTTATCTCTCTTCCTTTTTTTTGTGTTTGTTACTCTCTTGTAACACATCTAATCTTCATGTATGACCTTATTGTGTTGCAAGTGCTGTATTTGTCTAATTTTGGGCACTTATATGACATTATAAAGACCTATTGCAAATTGCGCAAAACACTTTCTAAAACAAACCTGTATAATGCACTCATAAAGCCTTGTGTTTGGTTCCTGTGTCTAGCATCGATAAACCTGTATAATGCCCTTATAAAACCTTGTGTTTGGTACCTCGGTGTAGCCAAATGCACTCATAAAGACCTATGTTTGGTTTCCTCCGTCCAGCCGGCCGATCTTCTGGCCGCGGAGATGCACAATCTGCTGTCCCCGCTCGTGACGAAAGCCTCCAGTGTGCTGGCCAGCCCAACAAGAACGAGCAGTTACGTCCCTTTGATGTCGCCCCAGCCCAGATTTTTCAACGACACACAGTCGCCGTATCAACAGTCGCCCTATCAAGCGTCGCCGGCCGGGATGATGGGCGGCCCAGCGGGTTGTGGGGAGAAGGAGGAGGAGAGTGACGCCCCCTTGTCGTCAGAGTCCACTCCGGCGGGGCGTAATGAGGAGGCGGGGTCAGGGGTGGGGGAGTGTGGTGGGAGCACGGTCAAGTACAGCATCTCCTCCACCACACCACTGCTCAGGTATGGATGGTTAGATATGATATATGTAGGTAAAACTTTGTTGATGTTCGCAAAGAGAAATTTTTTGTTGCGTCATGATAAATACGTTTCAGCTGATGCACTCGGAAACACATGCACGCGTGCTCACGCACACACACACACACGCACACACACACACACACACACACACACACACACACACACACACTCACACATTCCCCAGTGCTTTTTTGTCGTATCTCCATTTTTAATAACAGTGAGCTTAAGAAGATGTCCAATTTTCAGTTTTTAAAAATAGAGATACTACAAGAAAGCCCTGAGGTCGCGATATATACCCACGAATAGTCATTGGATGGACGTACAAAATGTTATACTCACACGCCTGACAAAAGGCTGAATAGCTTGTATTTGTGATAGAATGAAATAATTTTTGACGCTCTGGCTCTTTCTTTAAAAAATAATAAAACCTTTTTGTTTAGAATTTTTCTTTCATTGGATAGTATGCTCTTATTTGGGCAATTCGTAAGCTCAAATGGGCTCATACCTGACTATTTATTATCCTAATGACCTTGGTTCGAATCTCTTGCAGGGTGTTTTTGAGCTTGGGTTGATTGAAGATTTTCACAGGGGTATAGCTTGGAAGTAGATGTTTGATTGAGGATTCTGCCTCATGAATACCCTCATAATGTTGACCGAGCTGTTTGGCACGATGATATTTGCTGCATGCTGACAAAATGAATTACTTCTCGCAATCCACAGATGGAGGTATATGAAGAAAAATCAACACTAGGGTCAAATTTGTAGAATTTCTATTGATGTCATATTCTTAATTGGTCGCTTTTAAGGACAAGCAGGCTAACCCAGATTTCAGGGATTCCAGAAATCTTGACCTACACCAAAAGTGGGCATTGCCCTACCTCAGACCTGCCACTCATCCCAATTTCATCGGGATATCCCGATTTTTTGCCCCAAATCTCAAGCATCCCGATTTTCCCGATTTCGATCGCCAGTATCCTGATTTTTTGTCGTTGCGTCAGTTGCGTCCGATTCTTCGAAAAAATTAAAAAGTTCTGCAATCTATTTTGCCTGGAAGCACCGATTAGATTTTTCATCGGCAGGAGCTTGGAACGCTACTTTCTGAAGCATCTATGCCGAATCTAGTAGATGACTCACGCACGTTATTTCAACTAAAACCGACGTAGTATCGATTTTGAATTCCGACATGGATACGCTCAAGATGTACTTTCGCTTTTTTATAACCCAGAATTCTCCGACTGTGTCCTGATTACTGTATGTCATGGGCTTAAGAATAATCTATTTGTTGTTCTGCCGTTGGTTTAAAAGCAAGCTTCGTCTTGAGTTCTGGTTTGTCGGGCCCGTTAGTGGAACTTTCAAACGCTCATTCGCAACACGTGACATGACCTCGTACGTGTGAGTAGCGCGTGTGTCGGGGACCGTCGGCTGTCGGGGTCAGCAAAGTTCATTCACACCGGTCGCATTGGTCGGGGTGTTTTTCGAGACTTAACTAGGACGACCGGGGGGAGCGGGTGGGGGTTTATTGTTTTGACACTTGTGCTTAAAGTGCGTGCCGTGATGCAAGTAGAACCTACTAATTGAGGATAAAGGAATAAGAAAAAAGAAATAAATGAACAACCTTGGCGCAATCTTTTTTTCTGGGTGTAGGGGGGGGGTGTGCCTTGAGTGTATTTGCGATGGAAGTCAAACTTTGTTACTGTATGAAAATGCGGGCTTTTTGTGTGGATGATTAGAGTCATGTGTCAGCTATTTTCAAGACTACGAGAGTTTCAGCTGTACTGCAACCTGCGCTCCCCCCCACTCTATCCCACTCCGACTCGAGTAATGCTGTCTTTCAGTTTTCCCTCTATTTAGAGGCCCAAACGTGAAGTTATTCCTGCAAAAGTTTTCAAGTTTTCTCTTGCATATTTTCCTCATAAAAGGGAACCAGGACCCCCCTTCCCCAGTACCCCTTATGACAGATTTGCCGTTGATCCCGATTTTTTTCACCAGACCCTGATTTTTTTACTTTAACATCCTGATTTTTAGATTTCATAGAGTGGCAGGTCTGCCTACCTATAGGAGAAGTTTGGTTTCATTGATGTGTATATTTGATTGGTTATATAGAAAACTCTCCTTGTTTTTTAAAGAAACTGTACTAGGGGCAAAAACTTTATCTTTGATTTTCTCAAAACAGCATTTTTCAGGATAGCCACCTTGTGCTTAAAAGCGACCAACTATAAGTTTTACACGCCTTTTGTTATTTCATACTTATAAATTGCAAGAACTTCACCTCTAAACATGATGTATCTATTTCCATCAGGCTTAAATCCGAGAAGTAACTTATTTTGTCAACACGCTTCTCATATAATTCTGGCGGCAGGATAATTTCAAGTTTGGTACAATTCAGTAAGGAGGTTGGGCTCCCATTGAAAATTTTAGTAGTTCATTTGATTTGTACCGTTGAAATAGTTTAGGAAAAAGTGGTTGTCTTACTCAGGTGGACATCTTGGACAGTATCTGTATTATAAATATGTGAGGCAGAGTGGTGAAATCATGCGCTTGTCAAAATAATGAAAGTAAAGAAACTTACACTTTTCCACGGTTTTGGCAATTTTTAACGAAATTGTGTTTTTCAGCTCAACATCTTTTATATCTATTTAAGAACCCATTTCGGTGTAAATTGTTTTGAAAAACTGATTAAAGGCTTAAAAATGTAAATTTTCAGTTTCCACGGACTCTTAGGCTTTGTAAATAACCTATCTTTGACGGCCATTTTCTCTTAATTTTACACCTGAAACCAGGTGACCCCACGTCATTCAATCGCAAATATCTCGACATGTACTCAAGATAAATGGGTAATTCTTTCTCCGAAAGCAAGGTAAATGAAGCTTTAAGGCAATACCAATAACTCCAAATGGCCAAAAATTGACGAGCGCCTGATTCCAAAGCGCAGTGACACATATAGTAAAAAAGCTAGAGAGTGGGTGGGAAGTGTTCTTTTGTACAGATGATTGTCTTTGACAGGTGCTCATTAGAGAGCACATACTACTGTAACTGAACGAATTTTGATGAAAGTTTTTCCCGATGTCATGTTGATCTTTGATTTTGATTTGTCAGTTGGGGGGATAATATTCTACATTGTGGGTTGCCTTGAGCCTTCTAGGGATTAGGGGCTATATAAGTTCACATTGTTATTATCCATATTATTATTATTACTATTATTTTTATTATTATCATTATTATTATAATTTTATTTTTTTTATTCTCACCATCATTGTTTTAATATTACTGTCATTATTGTTATCATAAATATTATTATTCTTATTATTCTCGTCATCATTATTTTTATTATTATTATTATTCTCATGGTCAATATTTTAAAAGTTATAATTATTATTATTATTATTACTATTAGTAACATTGTCACAATTGTTGATGTTCCCAGTAAAACCCCCGACGCTGCCCTCCTGGCTGTGGTGACTCCGGTCCGCCGGTCCATCCGCCTCTCAGGCCGACGGTCAACGCCTGGCATCCGCCGCGAGGTCAATAGCGTGTCGGATCTCTCGGAGGCGGAGCGCTCTACCATGCTGTTCAAGGTCAACCCGGCTGTAGCAGGGGAGTGAACCTTGCGTCATGGGTCGTCGGTCGGTGTCGCGGGAACTCGACCCTAGTACCCAGCCAGACTCTGGTGCTCGTGTTTATAGATGTATGAAAAAATATTTTTTTTGTCGAGGACCAAATTGGTGTATCATGATTTTTGGTGCTGAAAGATGTTTTTTTTCGATGTTTTAAGTATGTTTTATGTGTCGTTTATTTTTCTGATTTTAAAGTGCGTTTTGCTTGTCTCTTTTTTTTTTGTTGTTTTTTTCTTTTTCTTTTTCATGATTTCGAAGTGAAAGTGTTCTTTGTGTGATGTTTTTCTAATTTCTCATTTCAGTGTGCACTTTGTGTGCCGATTTTCTGATTTTAATGTGCGCTGTAATGTGGTAATGTGTGTTGATTTTCAGAGATCACAAAGTGCATTTTGTTTGTCATTGGGGGTGTGTCAAACAACAAGCACAATCCTCTTTGATAAGTGCAGGACAAAAGCTCCACTCACTTACCTGTTGTTTTTTTACTGCCGGTAAATGTGACACTTTTGTTGTTGTGTCTACAGCTAGCATTTATTAAGTTTCTTCTTCAAAGTTTCCAAAATTATGATGCATGAGTTTGGCTCTGGGCCGATAACGTATAATTGTTAATATCAAAATGTATTTTTTACTTTCTATGTGAAGATTGTCTCAGGCACAAATCACTGAAACTTTCCCTAAGGAAGACATGGAGTGACATCAAGCGACTAGCCCAGGATTGGGAAAGGTGGAAAATGTTTGTTCGTGGCCTAGATCTATATCCTGATCCAGGGTGAGAGAGGCAATGATGATGATTATAAACCCCGTTTCAATTACTTTTGGGTTTTTTTTATGTTCCAAGTGTATGAATTCAAGTTTAGTGACATGGTTTGCTTCCACTTAGAGGGGATAAGTTTGGCGTATTGTTTATGGGTGCTGGGGTATGATGCACTACTTTTTTAAAAGGTGTATGCAGTTAAACAAGAAATATACTATGGACAAATGTAGATTTCTAAAATATTTTGTTCTGTGATAAAATTTTGATAATCGTTCATTACAAAAAAAATATTATGTAGATTTATTAGAATAATATCTTGTGGTTGCACCTGCAAAGTTTCAGCTCTTTTGGATAGAAAACTAAAACTGTAGGCCAAAAATGAACTTTGCAACAAAATCCATAATAGCTGTTGTGACCATTTTCTTGAAATAACATAAAGGTATGGGGGGGGGGGGGTAAAAAAATGTTCGGTGAGTCCCAAAATGTTAGTAGCTTTCAGCAATAAAAGAGGACAATAAACAAGTATATTTTAAAATTTGATCTTTTTCCTACATCCACATGGCATTAATTGTTTTTATTATCGTAATCCATCCTGGGCAAAATGTAATTGTGTAGTCTTTCCATAGATTATAAATTATCTCCTCATATCCGGTGTTTGAGTGTCAGGGTTTCTGTTCATTATTTTCACGAGAACATCTTTTATTCTCAACTTCTGCTTTCTAATTAATCCTGTTTGTGGGTGGTTGACGGGTGCTCTGGTGTGGTTTGCTCCTTCTTTCCTATCAAATACCTATCGTCTTTGTCTCCCCTCCTACTTTTTTGTGTTTGTTACTCTCTTGTAACACCTGTAATCTTTTGCACTTATATGACCTTATTGTGTTGCCAGTGCCGTAAAACTTTTACTAAAACTAAAACTTTATTCTGTTTTAGTTGTGTCTGTTATCCATCTGTCTGTTTCGTAAATTTTCCGGTAGTTTCCCAAAATCAGAGTAATGCCCGTGGAGGCTAGTTCCTCCGTTCCAACATTTCCAGGGAAGATGGAGCTTGGTGTTAGGTTTCTTTTTGCCGTTATTGTGGTGGAAGAAACTTTTATGGTGGGTGGTTGGCGGGTGTTCTGGTGTGGTTTGCTCCTTTTTTCCTTTCAAACATCTATCTTTATCTCTCCTCCTTCTTTTTTGTTTTTGTTACTCTCTTGTAACACCTCTAACCTTCTGGCGCTCATATGACCTTATGCTGTCGCGAGCACCGCAAAACCTCTACTAAATCTAAAACTGTAATCTTCGGCATGTATGACCTTATTGTATTTCAGGTGCCATAAAACACTTATTAAAACTAAACTAAACTTAACTAAAACTTTTAAGATGGAGTAATTTGTGCCTGAGACCATCATTGCAGAATTTTCTGAATCTCTGGCGGAGAGGATGAAGTGTTGATCGCTGTCCGAAGTATGGTTTGGGCTAATTGTCTAGCTTCCTGCGTGCCGTTTCTCAGAATGTCGATTGGCAACATACACTGGATAAGCAGCCCAAGTTTTTAGAATTTTATTTCTTTTCTTCTTTTTTTTCATATCAAAGTGCCTGGTTAAGCTGTCTCTGAATTGAACAATATTCAATTTAGCTTATCTATCATTGTCTTTCACAAAGTCCATTTTTTTCTGTTGGGGAAAGAAAAAGTGGTCAGTCCCACTGTCTTGAGTATGTCATGTATACAATACAAAGACTTATTTTTGCAAAGGCCAGGATTTCAGCAATAAACTCAGAACTACTTAAAATTGGATCCATAATTTGAGAATATCAGATTGGTAAATCTGAAATAAGATGGCTTTCGAACTCATCCGTAAGGTCAAAGGTTCGAATCCCACCCAGTGCTTGATCAATGCTCCTTAAGTATAATTTGTGAATTTGGGATCCAATTTTTAGTGCCACTTATTTCTCACACTTTTGTACCTATTGATTTTCATATTTTAATTTGCTTCTGTTGGGTGGGTTCATTTTGTGTAGAAGTGTGGTAAAATGTGGTATCCACAGAAAAAATGTTACACACTTATTTCAGGGAGGGGGGAAGGGGGGGGAGGTGTCTGTAGGTTTATAATTTTCACATGCTATGTATTCTTCATTTATTTCATGATATGTTGTCATTAGGCCCTGACTCTTCCTGTATCATACTTTATGCTGTAGGCCTATTTGTAAAATATTCTTTGATTACGCTTGTTTATTCGAAGTATTTGCTGAACGAGTTCATTTGATGTTTTGTTTCTGTCTTGGCTTCAGTTATAGTTGACACAAACGTTTGTTTTATAGAGCTAAAGTGTAAGAGGGAGCTGTGGTGTGGATTGCTCCTTCGTTATCATCAAACATCTGTGGTCTTTGTTACGGCTTGTGGTCTATTGACGAGCAATATGCTGAGTGAATCAGTTGACTCGTAGGAAATGAGTGAAAGACCACAGTTGAATCGTTATAGGGCACATTATAGGAAACGAATGAAAGATACAGTTGAATCGTTATAGGGAACGTTATAGGAAACGAGTGAAAGATACAGTTGAATCACAATAGGGAATGTTAATGGGAATGAGTGAAAGATACTGTTGAAATTGTCTCTCCCCCCCCCCCCCCCCGTTTTTGAGGAGAGAAGTGTTTGTTTTTGTCGGGATGACGTCTAACACAGTGACATTATAGTGTAAAAAACACCCAGGGGGGGAAGTGGGAAATGGTTGTTTTTGCATAGGTGGTGATTGTCTTAGACTGGTTGTTGTTAGAGCAGGTTGGACTGTAACTGTAATCTTAGTAATCTTACCATTTTGTTGAAGTGTATGTGTGTTCGACTTTACTTACTTTTATTTTTTCCGGGCCCTGTTACAGTGCAGCCTGTCTATAATGACCTTCGATATAACGACATCCTCTGTATATATAAATACATGGTGCCCAGGTCCTGATTTTTTCCTTATATTCATTAGGGACTTTTGGTTGCCTCTCTATAACGACAACTCTCTATAACAATCTTGTCGGGACCAGAAAAAAACGTTGTTATAGAGAGGCTGCATTGTACGTTACTGTGTAGAGGGGAGAAGCAAACACCTGTTGTTTGGTACTTGTATAGTTTTTATTTAATGTTTCTCTGACTCCCCTCTATCCATCTTTTCCTTGGGCCTGCCTCTCCCTAGCTGTATCCATCTGATCTCTGGTTGTAGTTGCATTCTCTCGCTGGTATACTGTCTGGTGGTAGTCTGAAATGTAAATTAACAGATGTCCAATCTATTTATTGCATATGTAGTTTATTGATCAGTGTACTCCAAGCCTGGAGTGAAGCTGGTAAGAAAGTGCCTGCGGTAAATCCTGCATGTCTGTGTTGTTACTGTATGTGCGTCATTGTGGTGAAATCAGGTGCTCGTCAAAATAATGACATCAAGTTGTCAAGGATCTGGCATTTCTCTGTCTGTTGGGCAGTTTTTTGTGACTTCTTTTGACTCAGCACCTTTTTGTCCATTGAAAAAAAAAAAAATTTCTGTGTGAATTTTACTAAATGTTTAAAATATGTTAATTATGGCACCAAAAAATGTATGTTTGCTTTTTCCATGAACACTCAGTCTTTGGAAGTTACTAAAGTTTGGCTGCCATTTTCTTGCTTATTTTTGCCTCTGACACAAAATGGACCCCACCTCCTTCCATCCCTGTTAATATCTCAACTTCTGTTAGAGACAGATGGGTATTGTTTTTTTAAACCAAAAAACAAGACAAATGAACAAACTTTAAGATGATGCCAATAGCATTATGCCTAAAAATTTACGAGCACCTGATTCTACATGTCGGGGGACACTGTTTGTCTCTGACAGTGTGCATCAAACTGAGTTATAAAATCAAAAGAAAATTGTTTGTCTTTATCCAGTCATAACTATGTAATATTTATACCTCAGTGATGTGTCATTTTTACTCATTGCTTTTTTATCAGTTTTCTGTATATGTGTGTTTTTGCCAAACTCAGAAATTGCCTTTTTAATCGCAATTCGCAATACAGATCTTGTAATGTACAGTGCATGTTTAGATATTTTTCCTCTTACGTGTGGTGTTATGCTCTATACCTGGTTTCATTCGCTAGATCTAGCACCTTGTATTGGCAATTTTCGCAATTTTTAAAGCAGTTTAGGAGATATTAAAATTAAAAGGGGCGCAACTTTGTTGAACCACATGACATTGGGCGACTCCTATCGAAAATTGGAACACTTAGTGTATAGTGTCTTCTTTGAGACAGACAAAAATCAGAAAGAGAGAGAGAGAGAATGTGTGGAATAAGTACAAGTAGACAAAGAGAGAGAGAGAGACCGAGAGAATGTATTGAATAACTTCAAGTAGACAGAGAGAGAGAGACAGACCGAGAGAATGTATTGAATAAATGCAAGTAGACAAAGAAGGAGAGAGAATGTATGGAATAAGTGCAACAACTGTGTTTGTGACGAGTGTTGGACCACATGACTTTGGGCGACTCCTGTCGGGAATTGGAAATGTTCGGGGAAAGTGAAATGGGCAAAATGAAAAACTATTTTAAAATTCTGCTCGCCCAAAAGGTTGTACAGTGTCTATATATATACATGTATATGATATATATGTGAGACAGCGTGGTGGAATCAGGCTCTCGTCAATTTTTGGGCATGTAGAGTTATTGGCATCATCTTAAAGCTTGTTCATTTGTCTTGCTTTCAATGAAAAAATTACTTACCCATCTTCAATAGAAGTGGGGATATTTTGGATTGAAGGAGGTGGGGGAAACCTGATTCAAGAGGTAAAATTAGCGAGAAAATGGCCGCCAAAGCTTGGTAAATTCCAAAGCTGGAGAGTCCATAGAAACTGTATATTTATATTTTTGTGCCTTTAATCGTTTTCGGTGAAATCCCCAAAGGAATGTGTTAATAAATAGACATAAAAGGTGTTGAGTCAAAAAACAAAAATTTGATAAAAATTGCTAAGGATGGAGAAAACTGCTGTTTTCTTCAATTTCATTAT